GTGGTGTTATTTAGCACAAAGTAATCTTTTGGTGACCAGTTTTCTGAACTACATTTTCTTAAAGTAAGCTAAAATGCTTTATATCATGATGTTCGTTGCACTCATAAGGAGATTGAGTAATAATGTTTGCTACAGTCAAATAGGATCAACCATGAAGTTTGATGCATTTTGTATTTTTTAATAGCAGCATAAAATTGATCTCTTGATCTGTAGTAGACCATTCTTTTGTTGAAATGACTTTTTTTGTATATACAGACACTGAAGTTCATAGATGGAAGGGTTTAGAAAGCTTCCTGGAGGAAAAGCACCAACTCTAGTCGCATTTTGTTAGATACCCTGATACAAACTGTTCTTCTTCAATTAGTTTAGGATAGTAAATTATTTCTTGGTCTTTATGGACGGCTGTTGTAAAATAGGTCAGTGCCTACCTCTGCATGTTCTTACTCAAGAATCATGTTCTTGGAGTCTAAGCTCTCCGTTTTTGCATTGCTGCATCTTTTGATTACATATAAGATACTCTTCTTAGAGTTTGCTAATTGATGTTATTGCTCTGTTTCCAGGAAAATTACCTTTTTCCAAATATGAGTATGGGTGATGAAAACCAATTCTTGTGATAAAAGGGAGTCTTGTAGTTAGGATTGTGATACGATGATCAAGACCCAAGTCTTTCAACTTTAGGCTCTCATTGTTCTGAAAAACGTGAACCTTGTTATGTTGTTTCACAGGTCAACTGATATCTTCAGTCAAGACCAGCTTCTAAGCTGATTAAAGCTGTGCTAGTGTAGAATATGTGTGTACCCTTTACAAAAAAAGAAGAGTAAATATCCTAAAACCCGCCTAAACTATCACGTTTTTGTCAGATTCCTCCCTAAACTATTGCATATCCCCAAAACTTCCCTCAACTGTATCCTCCTTCATATTAAAAACCTCCCGTCGCCTTTTTAATGGTATGTATGATACACTCGCAAATTTGTAAGAAATGTGCCATGTGGCACTCCACATGGTTATTATTTAGCCTAATCAAAAAATAACTGAATTACGTATTTTAAATATCAACCCCAATTTATTAAATGGGTAAATATTATTCACCCGATTAAAACATATAAGAGGTCTGAGGCAAAAAACATTCAGTAAAATCCCTTTTCTCTTATCTTTCGATAATGGCTTCTCTTTCTCTCACGAGCGATTTTCTCCATTAAGTTTCGTTGTGACCTTCATTTCCCCCCAATAACCCTCGATATAATATATCGAGGGTTTTTATGTGGGTTATGTCCCTTGCATTATGAAAAGTCCATTGTTCTCATATATCTTGTTCTCCTCCAAATGTATTTCAGAAGCTTGAAGAGAAATTCAATAACAAGAGAGGGAGAATTTCATATGGAACCGGATGGAGAAATGGAAGGGAAAGGTGAAAAATGGAGAAGAAAGGTGGAAAATGAGGAAGGAGGGTGAAATATAATGAAAATGAGAAAAAAATAATAATTAAAAAATACATTTTTTTTTAAAAAAGGGCTAATTAGCAATTAGACACTGCCATGTGGGCTATTTTGATGGATTTTTCTAGCCTTCACGCGCTATTTCACGAGTTATTACACACAATATGCCACATAAGCAGCGGATACGAAGGANAAATTAAAAAATACATTTTTTTTAAAAAGGGCTAATTAGCAATTAGACATTGCCATGTGGGCTATTTTGATGGATTTTTCTAGCCTTCACGCGCTATTTCACGAGTTATTACACACAATATGCCACATAAGCAGCGTATACGAAGGAGGATATAGTTCAAAGAGTTTTTGGGGACAAGGGATAGTTTAGATAGGGAACTGGTAGCGAATACTAAAGAGGATATAGTTCAGAGGGTTTTTGGGGACAAATGATAGTTTAGATAGGGTACTAGCTGCGGACACGAAGGATGATATACTGCAATGCCATCTTGCATTGCCGCGCATGCTAAGCAGTTGGTTCTGGGTTTCGTTGATCATTTGCAACTATACTCTTGATTAGAGTTAATTCTGATATGCTAGGGAACCACTTCTAGCAGCTTTCCTCATTCAACACTGAGTTGGGTCCAAAACTCAAGATAAAATGTACTTAGAGTTCCTAATTCATATTTCAACCTGTCTGTCTGTAAATTCATTAGCATCCCACTACATGGGCAAATATTTACCTGTTTAATTAACTAGGAAAAATCATAACAATCTTATTCTAACGGAGAAGCTGCATACAATTAACACCCTGAATATTCAATCCAAATAACATATATAGTGTTGAAGTTTGGCAAAATGCCAAAGTCCCACATCGGTTGGGAGAAGAGTTGGGGGGGATTTTCCCCCCTATAAAAGAAGGCCTAATGTTTAGGATTTATACACACCTCTCATTTGCCTTCTCATCTGTTTAAGGCATTTCTATCTTCTCTCTTTAGTATTATTTCATTTGTATTTTTGGAGTGGAATAAAATATTGGTTGTGTTCGAGGAGTAGGCAAAATTAGCCTAACCTCGTAAATTCTGGTGTTCCTTTTATTGTTGCTTTATTGTCTTATTTATTATTTGGTGGCTGTCATAATTTTTGGCATAGTAGTTGTGACTTATTCACACTATATACATTTGGCTTCCGCAACAATTGGTATCAGAACCAAGGTACTGTCTAAGTATGCTCTGTGGTTGCAGCATAGTCTGATCTTCCACATCAGAAAAGATTTATATTGGTATCAGAGCCAAGGTATTGTCTAAGTATGCTCTGTGGTTGCTGCATAGTCTAATCTTCCACATCAGAAAAGATTTATCTTGGTAACTGAGTCAAGGTTCTGTCTGAGTATGCTCTGTGGTTGCAGCTTAGTCTGATCTTCTACATCAGAAAGGAAATAATCTTGATTTGTGTCGTCAGCTATTAAATAATATTTGTGTCAAATATGGGAGACAATAAACAAGAAGAATCTACATCAAGTGTCAACAATACGTCATCATTGGCATCTTCGCTTATGACAAGAATTGTGTCAAATGCGAAATTTGCGGTAGAAATTTTTGACGGGTCCGGGCATTTTGGGATTGGCAAGGCGAGGTTCTAGATGTACTTTTTCAACAAGGGCTAGATCTTGCCATTGAAGAAAAGAGACCAGATGTTATTGGAGAAGAA